TTACTTCTATCAAGAATGCAACGTAGCATCTGGGTCAGCACTAAAGACTTTCTAATTCATGCCAGAGCTGATTTGGAATTGACTGTGAGCGGTTGCAGACATTGGCCTGGATAGGACCCCATTATCAAATCGGCATTTAGTCGGTGGTTGTTCAGAATTCCCATCACATGTTTGGCTTTATCATTCAACACTTTTCCTGCATCTTCTATAACTTCCTGGTCCAATCCAAGCTAGATGATTAATCGAATTTCGTTTGGTAGCGGTGGGGAGGCTGCTGTAAATTACTTCAAAGGGCTCGCTCACGGCTCATTAAGACTAGTGTATTCGCCAAGTTCTTATTATAAGGCAACACCACTATTTTGTCGATCATGTGACAAGGTGCTCTAATTTACTCAAGGTGTGTATTTCTAACATCAAAAACATGTAGGTCGCCAAAATAGAAGGTGCCACAAAGCAGTTCAGACAGATGTTTACGTGGGAGAAGAGAGCTCTATGAAAACATCTGATATGAAGTTTATCAGACTGCAGCAAATACTCAATTTCATCCCTCATAGAGGTGGGTTAGTTTTGAGGAAGAAGAATAGGAAGGAACCAAGGCAATCCATGAAATGGCTGAAATTGCTAATGAACGCCCGTGGGAAGAGGGAGGTGGGAATAGAACACGAGGGAGCGGAATGTAAGGAGCTATTGAAAGAAGGGGGCAAAGGCAGGCTGGAGAAAGAAGTGAAGAATGAGGAGACACGTGCACTGAATGATGATAAGCTTGATGAGAAAGCAAAATAGGAGGGGCGATTTGCTGGAGTGGAGATATCCACACTACCTCTCATCATATTCAAGGCCGGTAGTGACAATTTCTGTCGTTGTGCATTGGCTGCATTCTGCACCGATGCCTATCGTACCTTCGTCCTGGTTCAGAAGAGGGGCCAACTAGGATCGTTTGCTCTGCAGTGTTCTGCAAAGCAGGTGGAGTTTAACACGTAGGGGTGGTGTCTAGAAGGTATCAGGTACAATGTCTTTTAGTTGAGTACTTCGTTAGGCTCCGGGTTCTTCCGTGCTACGCAATCCGCACAAGTGTGTCAAGTGTTCTGCCACCCATCACCTAGATGCATGGAAATCTACTCATCTGTTCATTCCATGACAATTCTTTGCCATGCAATGGACTCAATCCTGCAATACTTGCATGCCGAGTGGTGCGTTGCAATCAGTCAAGGCAATTCGAGCTTCGCACTCAACCGAATGACCTGCGAATCTTTCGTCGTGAATAAATGCAGCAAAAGTAGTCGTATTCCCCAGACCGTGCGTATCCTGCCCACCCCTCACTGACCTCCTCAATTCCATCTTTTTCACATAGCGCTGCATGTGTGAGCAGGTACCACAAAGTGACGCCGATTACATGTCACTCAACTGACATGTCACTAATCATTCAATTATCAAGGCGTTACATTAACCAGAAAGACAGCCTTACTAACCTTGCATGTTGTGGCATTAGAGACCAGCATTCCCTCCATTCGGCGTCTGGTAAGCCATTCATTCAATGTCCATGTTGGTGTCGGTGTCTACGTAGATTTGCTCCGAATGCAGCTACTCGGGCCATCAATCGTCTCCATCTCCCACGACTCCTTCCATGTGATTTCGTCACATTCCCATCCTCGCAATTCGCCTCGTGTACCTCTTCCTCCTTCACCTCTTTCTCCATTCTGCCATTCTCCTCCTTCATCAAATTCCTCTTTGCCTTACTACCCCTCTTCCTCTTGTCGGCCTCACTCTCTCTTGCCTTGTTCACGCCCCCTCCTTCCCACTTGCATCCATCAGGAATCGCTTCTATTCCATAGCTCGTGTCAGCGACTCCTCTCGTTTCTTCCTCTTCCAAGGTTTGCGACCGTAACGTCCACATTGAACGACTTCTATGCGCGAAGAAATTGAGTATTCGCTGCAATCTGATAAACTTTGCATCAGATGTTTCCGCAGAGTCCTCCTCTTCTTCTTCTTCCACATAATCATCGATCTGAACTGCCTTCTGACAGCTTCTACTTTGGCAACCTACACGTTATCGATGTTAGAAATGCATTCCTTCAGCCTGAATAAGAGCACCTACCCTTCATCAAAGCAGATGCAATATCTATCACCGTCCAGATGACACAACACACGCGGAGGTCAAATCCACGAAATTGACCAAACAAAATGAGTACTGCGTAAAATAAGAGAAAAAGTGCAGGATAGCAGACGACGTCCTTCAGCATTTCAAGTGCGAGCG